TCTAAGGTCTACCACATGATAGGCAAACATTCTACTACTGAACCCCCGCCCGCCCCCCTGCACTGTCCAAGGACGTATGAACTGCTGTTGTTGCTGTTTGGAAACAGGGCCTCACATAGCCCAGGCTGGCCTTGAACTCACTATGTAGCCACCTACATAGCCTCCACCTCCCAAGAGCTGGGATTACAGGAGTATTCCACCCCTCTAGGTTTGAATTTTTTAGTTGCTATATATAGTCAATAATCATATGCTAAAAGGTGAATTTCTGTAAGACATATGGCACTCACCTGTAATCCTAGCCCTAGTGAATGAGGGACAAAGAGGGATATGCAAAGGGCAGGAGGATCATAAATTTGAGGCCAACCTGGATCACATACTGAGAGGCTATTTTACACACACACACACACACACACACAAAGTGATTTGTACAAAGCTCTATACTATAGACAATTCCAATATCATCTTTTGCTTTAAACTTGAGCAGAAAAATGACTATCTTATCCTGGCTCTGTAAGCCTGACCTGTAATTATAATCACTTAATAAAATGCAGGCAAACAGAAATCAATTGAAGCTAACATCCTATTACTTAGAAGCTAACTTCTTCATAAAGCTCCAGATTAACCTCATAACTGCTATAGAATGAGAATCTACAACCCCTTTCCCCACAGAAAACTTCATTAAGTCTTACAATACAAATATACAATGTTAAGCATTCTTCAAAATATTGGTGGGGTTGTCTCCCCATCTCCTCTTTTAGGTCAGCCATATTTTCAAGGATGTAAGGGAAGATGTGATATTGGCATGAATAAGAGAGGCAGTAAGAGAAGGGTTCCCAAAGGATGTTATTTTGGGAAGGCCTAAATGAAAAGGGGAAAATGAGCTATCCAGAGGAATGAGTGTAGGGAATGCCAAAGCAAAACTAACTGGTGGAAGGGTTTACAAATTCTTTTTTTGTGCTGGGATTAAAGGCATGCACCACCACGCCCAGCTGGGTTTATGAATTCTTTTTTTTTTTTTTTGGTCTTTTGGAGACAGTGTCTCCCTGTAGGCTCCAGCTGGCCTGGTATTCACTATGTAGACCAGGCTGGCCTTAAACTGTTTTTTTTGTTTTGTTTTGTTTGGTCTTTTTTGAGTCAAGGTCTCCCTGTAGCTCAAATGGCCTGGAACTCACTATGTAGGCCAGGCTGGCCTTGAACTCATGGAGATCCACCTGCCCCTGCCTCCCCAGTGCTGGGATTAAAGGTGAGTGCCACCACACCTGGGGGCCTTGAACTCTTGATCTCCCTGCCTCCACCTCCCAAGTGCTGGGATTACAAGAGTGCACCATCTTGTCTGGCTCCCTCTCTATTCTTGAAGGGTATCGATTCAATCAGCAAACTGAGGAGTGAATCCAGGCCTTTACCCAGGCTTGGTAAGTGCTTGGTCTGTCACTGAGCTGTGCCCTGGTCCCAGCACTGAGAGGTATCAATGGAACACCTGGTAGGATAGGGCAGTCCAATAGGGGCAGGACATGATAGCCACTTTGTATTAGCTAAGGTTTTAGGGTTGGTAATTTAAAGCTAGCAGTTTGTGTTTTGGTGTTTGTTACCCATCCCTTTTTTCCCAAAGTTTATAGAATCAATGATCTACAAGAGTGAGTCCCCTCAGCCCTTAAAAGCTACTTTCTCCTTCCAATGGTTTGTGTTATATCCTTAACCCTCACAGCACACCTAACAGTGTATCAGCTAGCAGTCCAGAATGCCATAGAAGTAGTTGTTAGATTAGAATAATGACGCCTTTACCAGGAGACAGTGGTGGGTTAAACCTACTTGTAAAGAGCAAGAGATTGTTGACTGAACATGGTGGCTCAGGCCTATAACTCCAACAGTTGTGAGACTGAGGCAGGAGGATTTCTGTGAGTTCAAGGCCAGCATGAGCTACATAATAAGATCCTATCTCAAGGAACCAGAGAAATGGGTCAGTGGTTAAGAGCACTCACTGACCTCTCTTGCAGAGGACCTGGGTTCAGTTCCCAGCACCCACATGGTGGTTAAAAACCGTCCATAACTCCAGTTCCAGGAGATCCAACACCCTCTTCTAGCCTTTGCAAGCATTGTATGGTATGGGTACACTTACATACATGCAGACAGTACACTTGAACACATAAAATAAAAATAAATTTTTAAAAAATTAAAGATCCTATCTCAAAAATAAACGATAGATAAATCGATAAGAAAACAAATAAGAGCAAAAGATCGTAAATTTAAAAAAATTAGGCTAAATTTATTTGCTAGGTTATTTTATTTCCAAACACTTTAAATGGTCCTCAAGACCTTTAAATTCTGAAACCTTTAAGTAGAATATTTACTATGTTTTGTAGCTATGGCTTACTTCACACTATGTAACTAAGTAATATGAGTCATCACATTTGCCCTGATGATATAAAAATACCACACCATGTGATCAGGACAAATAAATTATTTTTTAAAAGATACAACCAAGGCCGGGCATGGTGGTACACACCTTTAGTCCCCACACTCAGGAGGCAGAGACAGGGAGATCTCTGTGACTTCAAGTCCAGCCTTGTCTACATAGCAAGTTCCAGGCCAGCTGGGACTTCAGGGAGACCCTGTCTCAAAAAAGGAAAAAATATATATATACAATCAAGAATTTAACAAATTAGTGGCAATATATTGGAAACCTTTCCAAAATGATCTTA